AAAAAAAAAAAAAACAATTTATTATAAACAATTTATTAATACCGAATGCAAAGGGTCGTTGAACGCGTATGCACGGACCATACGTCCAAAACTAGTGCACTCCCATGATCGTAGACAAAATATTTAAATTTACTTTCAAAGTATAGTGGTAGGGATTGATTCATCTTTAAATAAAAAATAAAAATAAATTTATTTATAAAATTTTTGATTTAAATAAATCATTTTAAATTTAATGTATGATATTATCTAATATTAAAAATTTGTTAATTTAACGTCATCTGACGTTAGCAATTTGTTATTAACAATATAACAAATTAACAGATCACTAACGTCATCACACTTTAAATTTAAAGTGATTTATTCAAATTAAAAATTTTATTGATAAATTTATTATCTCTTTTTGTTTAAAAATAGATCCGTACTCACCACTATTCTTTTGGTTTGGATTTGGGTATTTTGACTAATATGTATCCCATCATAGACTCCCCACCTTGTACACATCCACCCGCCAACAGCCCCCGGGAACACCAACCTCTAATCATACGGTCTTTCAAAGCAGCACTACTAACAACCAGCTGGACTTAATAGCCAATCTGACATAGAACATACACCTATATTGCCTTTGCTTTTTGTCCACAAAAAGGATTGCACCTGTATGGCATCCAATCGTATAGAAGAACAAGAAGATGGAAGAATAAAGAGAGAGAGAAAACAAAGGGAGAAGAAACCTTGGATGTGACTGTTGTCTAGAAATATTCCAAAGAAGTCCATATCAAATCGAACCGTATTGTATTGGAGGGACCCTTCACGCACCATCTTAATTAAATACACCCCAAAAGTATATTTATACATTCCAAAAGATATTTTTTATTTAGGAACAAGAAAAACATGATCACCATCATATTAATCCTAATGTTGATTTGATAATTACAAAAAAAAAAAAAAAGGTTTTTTCCTTCTTACTACCATTTTTAGCAATTCAGCCTACTATTTTGGATTCTTGATGTGTCTGTAAAAGTTCGTATCGAAGAAGATCAAGAGAAATGCATTGCCGAGTGCAGGCCCGAG